CGTAAGATTTGTTAAATAAAAGGGAACTCTTTAGCTACAATGTATCAATGTTATGTTATAAAACAAATGGTAAACACCACAGCGTACACTATTGAGTTATGGATGCACTTGGGAGGTTTGCTAAGCACTCAAGAAGCTAGAGTCGCTCTCGGCTATCGCCTCGACCGACTCTTACGCTTCTTTCGTGCTTAGCAACCTCCCGCGTGCATCCATAACTCAATAGTGTACGCTGTGGTGTTTACCATTTGTTAAGTATAGGGAAGAGTATGAAACATGTAAAGACTGATGATAGAGTGTAAAGGCCTGTTATACCGTATAATATGTTCTCTTAATTGCTCTAGATCTCTTGGACATGTAAGAAGGGAATACATTTACCTTTTTGAGGACCGTCATTATCCTTAGGTTCTACTGCAAGTTTGGCGATTGCTTCTGGGGCTATGTCAGGGACTATGGAGAGAAAATTGTAAAGTGGAGGAATATCTTTCAACCAAGTGCTATGTTGTGAAAGTAAGTTTAGCGAGCTAGAATCCGAATCAAAGGGTTTGGGTTCTATCAAGATTTCGATCCAGTCGAGCCCTGGCCTGGTCATTGAGCTGTTTTGTGGGATCTGGGAGAGATTCTTCACTCTTATAGGACTTTAAACGGGTACAGGCATGGCGAAATGTTTACGGAATCTCTACATAGGCTTTTTCCTTCTCCCAATATCACGACCTTTGCTAAGTATGTAAGTTTTCGAGTAGTGGCACCGTGTGTTTGCTATGCTTTTCTTGAAAATTTTATGCGGGAAATTTGGCACGTGCTTTGCCCCAATTTAGCAATCTGCGCATACCCTATCGTTCGACCCAAGACCGCTGTGTATTTGGATGCAGACTGATCTTATCGATATCGAAGGAAGAAGGCCCTGCTTGGGATATGGACCCACGCTACCTTTCCTGAGAGAATCCTCTCTTATCGCAAAGGAAAGAATGCTAGACTCGGGACTCTGGAGGCTTGATTTGTGTCGTTTCCTTAGATCCGCAGAGTGCGGGTTTTTTTTTTGACCAGCGGCTGGTAATCGAGCTGGATACACGTTATGTTAACTTTGGTTTCTCATTAGCGAACAAGGAAGGCTGAAAAAAAAAAAAACATAGTTGCTCCCATAGTTTGAGCGACTCACCTTCGTCATGGCAGTATTTCTCTATCAAGTCATGCCTTTTAATAACCTTGTGATGTAGCCCCTCGGCTAATTTTTGATAATTCGCCCCAGATCCGAGTGACTCCTTCCACTTCCTTAACATGGTATATGATTTATCCAACGCCTTGAGATTGTCTTCATGGATTTCATCCAAACTCACATCTGTTAGGCCTAACGCCAGACCAAGCTGTCTCCAAATTGACACGACTTCTTGAGCAAGGGTAAGAAGTTCTTTGTTGTCTGGTTGGCCTGTCTTGAACACCTCACTTCTGCCTGTTTTTGTGAAAGTAAAATAACAAAAGTAATGACATTCCACGATGGGAAAATGGTGAAGAACTCTCAAGTAGCATTGCGATGTATTCGTATCTCATGTTTTCAAAATTGCCCAAGTAGGATGTTTCAACCTGCTCCTCCCCTCCCCCCACCCACCTCCTTGTTTTCGCCCACTTGCCCCTCAGAAAGTTGTGCATACTTATGCTTTGCATGCTTTTTCCAACCAAGATTTTTCCGAATGCATCGAAGCAGAGTGGGGGTGGCGAGGGGGGAGGGACGGTTGGCGGGTGTGGGAGAGGTGGCCGACTGGAACTTCGGAGTCCGAGAATACAGCAAGTGATAAAATTGCTATAGAGTAATAGAAAGTAGAAATCGGTTTGATTTAGGAAGAGAGACCGAAACTGTAGCCTTCGCGTGTGTGTGAACTGGAGACTTCACGTTATGCGATTCTTTACCTTGTGTTATCGTTTTATCCTTTACTTTTGACGACAAATAGACCCTTCCACGGTTTTTACGGCCATATTGTTTGGGGGTCAAACAAAATCTCGTTGCGTAGCAACAAGCAATT